TAATTCTATACATCAAGCTTCTAGAAAAAAAATACATCAAGCCCAAAGACCATAGAAGGGAGAAAATTATAAAGAATAATAGACATATAAATAAATATAAATTATAAAGAATAGAAACTAATGCAGTTGAGATTAAGAAAACAATAAAAGAAAAATGAATCAAAAAGTTAGTTCTTTGAAAGAATAAATAAAATTGATAAATCTTTAGCTAATATCATAAAAAAAGAAAGAAAAGGCTCAAATTCATGCAATGTAGAGTTAAAACAGTGAAAAATCCACAAATCATGTGGAAATTCAGAACATTATGAATACCTACTTTGAAAATCTTTACACTTACAGGCTTGATAACATAAAACATATGAACAGATTCCTAGACATCTATAAATTACCAAAGCTGAATCAAGAAGATATAAAATTTCTGAATAACTGAGTTCAGTTATTGAAATTGAAAATGTTATTACAAATGTAACAAAAAAAATCCAAGGTCCTGGTGGATTCACTGCTGAATTCTACAAGAAATTTAGAGATGATCTAATGCCATCTCTCCTCTAACTCTTTAATGAAATTGAAAGGGAAGCAATATTCCCTAATTCACTCCTAGAGGCAAGAATTACCCTGATGCCAGAATCAAAGAAAGATTCAATTAGAAAAGACAAGCACAGGACAATCTCCTTAATCAACATAGATGCAAAACTCCTCAGTAAGATACTACCAAACAGAATGCAGCAAATTGTCAAGAAGATAATATACTATGAACAAGTTGGATTTATCCCATTAATGCAAGGATGGGATAACACATGCAAGTCAATAAATGCAATACACCATATCAACAGAGTCAGACAAAAATCATATGATCGTCTCAACAAATGTTGGAAAAGCTTTTGACAAACTCTGACAATTCATTTATATAAAAACTCTGCAGAAAATCAGATTAGATTAGATGGTCTTTACCTCTATCTGATAAAAAGCCATCTCTGACAAAACAACAGCCAACACCATTTTAAATGAAGAAAAACTGAAAGTTTTCACTCTCAAATCAGATACAAGAGAAGGGTGTCCCCATCACCATTCCTAAACATTATAGTTCTGGAAATATTAGCCAGAGCTATAATAGAGCAATCAGACAAGAGAGAAATAAAAGGAAATAAGAGGAAATAAAAAGAAATAAAAGAGCTGGAAATAGAGCAATCAGACAAGAGAGAAATAAAAGGAAGAGGAAAAGGAAGGAAGAAGTCAAATTATCATTGTTTACAAATGACAATACTCTACATGGAAGACTCCAGAAACTCCACCAAAAGACCTCTAGAGTTAATAATCAAATTGAGTAGTGTATCTGAATACCAATATTCAAAAATTAACAGCATTGCAGTACAAAAACAACAAACTCACTGAGAGAGAAATAAGAGAAACCACACCCTTTACAATAGCATCCAAAAAAGGAAATACTTAGGAATTAATTTAACAAAAGAAGTAAAAGATCTATATACTGAAAATTACAGTGTTCTAAAGAAGCATATAAAAGAGGATGTGAGAAAATGGAAAGATAGTCTCTGCCCAACGCTAAAAAGAACCAAAAAAATGAAAATGGTCATACTCCCTAAACTGTTGTACAGATTTAAAAGTAATCCTGATCAAAATACCATTAGCATACTTCACAGATCTAGAGAAAACATTCCTAAAATTCATTTGGAATTAGAAGAGACCTGGAATAGTAAACGTGATTCTGAGCAACAAAAGCAAGGTAGGAGGCATTACAGTCCTTGGTTTGAAATTATACTACAAAGCTACCATGATAAAATCAACAATATACTGCTGGAAAAGTAAGTCTAAGGATCAGTGGAACAGATTATAAGATTCAACTACAAACACACTCAGCCACCTTATCTTTGACAAAGTGGCCAAATATATCCACTAGAAGAAAAATATATCGCTAATAACTGGTGCTCGAAAATTGGCTCTCTAAATGCTGAAGACTAAAACTAGACCCGTGTGTATCATCATGCACAAAACAAAAGTAAAAATAAATGAAAGATCTAAATATTAAAATAGAAATAATCTACTGGAAGAGAAAGTAGGGTAGAAATCTTGAAGACATCTTGTAGGCAGAGAGTTCATGAACAAAAGGCAAACCACGTGGCAAAAAGTTCAAAGAATCAACAACTGAGATCTCATCTTATTAAAAAAGTTTTGGACTTCAAAAGAAATCACAATGGAGTGAAAAGGCAATCTACAGATTGGGAAAATATTAAACCTATTGTCTCTGAGACAAAGGACTTCTATCTATGGTATATAAAGAATTGAAAAAAAATCAGATCCCTCAAATTCAAAGACTCAATTGAAAAGTGAACATGTAAAATGAACACAAACTTCTCATATGGAGAAACATCAATAGTAAATAAATACATGAAAAAATTAGTCTTTCCATCTCACCTCCAAAAAGGATAGTTTTGAAGAAAACAGTCAACAGGAAATGCTGGCAGGGCTGGGGTGGGGGGGAGAAGAAACCATTTTCCACTGCTGGTGGAAGTAGAAACTGGTGCAGTCACCATGTAAACCAATATGGAGATTCCTCAAAAAGCTAGGATTAGAGACCCTATTTACCCTGTTACTCATAACTTTCCTGGATATTTTCCCAGATGAATTAAAGACATCCTAGCATTGCAATATATGTGCACCCATGTTTATAGCAGCACAATTTGTAATAGTTAAGTCCTAGAAACAACCTAAATGTCCATCAACTGAGGAATAAATAAAAAGCATGTATTTTTTCTACAATGGAGTACTACTCAGACATAAAAAAGGTAAACATGAATCTTTTATAGATAAATGGAAACAACTAGATTACAATTTTATTAGTGAAATAAATCACACTCACATGTGTGAACATTGTATTCTCTCCCCAAGGTGAGAAACTAAAAGAATGAGCAAGGTAAAAATTGTACAGTAGATATTGTTAAATGGGAAGAAATTGTTAGAAAGAAAAAAAGAACCAGGATGGGGAAAAGAAGAAAGGAAGGAAGGGAAAAGAGAGAAAAAATGCAAGTTAGTTATTCTAATAATTCCTCTTGATAAAAAGAAAGTGCACTTGTATCCATTGGATTATCTTTATGCCCATATCTTAAAGTCTGAGTAACTAAATATAGTAATACTTGATGAATTAACCTTTGCTATTTCCTATCATCTTGTTATGAAATTTTGTTTGTTCTTTTTTATGTAAAATGAAAACAAGAATTAATTTGTTCAGAAAACATTTTCTAAGGTTTTTGGTTCTTTTTCTTTTTTAGTCAGGCATCGCTTGACACATTATGTTGGGTAAATATGATAAACTTCATTCTTACTCCCACGGAACAAAAGTCTAACAATTGCATATGGAGTGATCTAGAGAATAACAAACACAGTCCTACAGAAATATCAGTGTTTGGGATTGCATAACAGAGAAATACAGGGGGGAAGGGGTGGAAGAAGGTTTCTGCAAGGACAGAGCATTTCAACGGAAACCTAAAGAATGAACAGTAGTTTGTCACATGGTGTGTGTTGCAATGTTCCATACGGGACAGAGTGTATCAGGACCAGGTCACATATTGTCTCCTATTAGCCCCATGCTAAAACAGGGGAAGGCACAGTGATTGAGAGTCAGCATTCAACAGGGGAAAAAGCAAAACCTAAGAATACAGAAGGGACTCATAGGCTCATACACCATAGACTATCTGCTGGGGCACAGGAAATTTTTAGCAGGGCAAAATTATTTCAGATTTCTATCACAGAAAATCCTTTTGTCAGTAAGGTGGACAATGGGTTGGTTAGCAACAAAAACTAGAATTGTGGAATCTGCATAACTGATTGTTGACCAAGTATAAAAGAAAAAGTGTGGACAGTGATTAGCAAATTAACAGCTGAAGAATCCTGTGCACGCATTTAGTCTTTGGTGTTATTTCCTTTTGATTGATTTTGTTGGATTCTCTTGCAAATCCTGGCATGAAAAGAGTGGGACCTCTGATACAGCGATTTGCCACATTTTGTGAGACTATGCTAACTGTATTTAGCATTTTGGATTTTGGCTTTTTTTTCATCACTCAAATTTTGTCCGCAAATCAGCTTTAAAAATGTTCTTTTAAGTCATACAAATTTTATTTTAAATAGCTCAAGTCGTGACCAGTCTTCCGTGCCAGAAATTAATCTTTTCAAATGCTTTCCACTTTTTCTGTTCTAGTAGGTTTTTTTTTTTTTTCCTTTACCTTGAAGGAGCACTGGTTATTGAGTTGACCTCCCTGTCATGTCACATCATGTCAACAACTAAAACACTGTTCTCTAAATGGTCTTTCAATCTATTCTTGTGTAATTCATGGCTATTTATTAATTTTGCATTCAAGTTGCAAACTAGTTCCATAATGACTTCAGTCTGATAATTAGCCGGTGAATGGAAGTGAAGGATTGCAGACCCTGAAAAGACTGAACTTTTCTTTTCAGGAGGGGAGAGGTACAGTCCATAACCCGTGGCTCATGCTTCACACTTACAGTGTGGTGACTAACTAATGCTTCTCTTTTCTTTTTAAGTAGATATAAGTAGTGTGACAATTTTGCATAGTGGAACAATTACTTAGCTTTTTCTTTAATGATTGTAGTGTCATACTTTGCTGTAAGGAAACTGTCTTTTCCTCAGCCTCAAACTTTCCAAAACTACCCCACCCCACTACTGAATAACTCAATGTCACACATTAAAAACAAATAGATCAAATTTATATAACTGCTGGTTTAGCTAATAGGGGTGTCTATATTTTCTAGACTGCTTATTTTAAACCATCAAATGACAACACATTACTGTAAAGTTCAGGGAATTCCGTCAAGTACCACTGAGCACCCAGGCATGCTTAAATCTTTAAGTGACACTTTACATCAGAAGCAGGCACACTTAAGTACTTTATGACTACTTTCAAGGCTAAGGATACAATTTTCCTTGAAACAATTTAAAAACACAACTTAGACAAATGAGTGTTACTCACTTAGCTTCTTCATGCAGTCCCGGAGTCTGGTTTCCAGGCTGAGCACCCTTTGATGAAGCTCCTCGTAGTCATAGGCACCAATCTCCTCCTGAATTCCAGTGAGGACAGCAGAGAGATTTCGAATCTCCTCCTTGAACTGGGTGATCAGCTTGGCATCTGTTTTGTACTGCTCCAGCACAGGAATCAAGGGCAGGAGCTCATCCATCTTTTCCTTTAACTCCTGTGAAAAGGAATGCAGTGTTCTAGGAAGGCATCTAAAATTGTTACATTCTTTTCATTATGATAGGTTAAAAAAGTTTCACTAAAGCAGATTCAAAGTCCCATATTGATTTTTGCTTGATTTTAGATATTTTGTGAAAACATAAATGGCTACATGATCTTAGTAATAAACACATCTCATCTCACCTTTACATAGAACCACCTCGCTTTAAATGGTAACAGGTTTTTCTATAAAACAATTCGATCCTTATCATAATTAGAAAACCTCCCTATGACAGCAATTTTGAATTATTGCATTGCCTCATGCTTTGGAAGCATCTTATAATATGAACAATGCATCATCTAGTTAGGCATATAAATAGGATCTAGCTTCTAATTATGCATTGTTTGAATAAACATTAGATATATCACACACCCTATGTCTATTAATATCTATCTTTATAGTAGTATCAACAGGAAATTTTGGATTCTGTTGTAACTTTTTTTCACCACAGTAGACTTTCTATTTGTGGCCATTCACTAATTTGTCTTTCCATTTCTGTGAGTGCACTGCAGCTATTTTTAATACCTACTTTAGCACAACTTCATTAGGAAGCTAAGTTTAGCAAGTATAATACATTATACAAAGCTCAACAAAATACATATTGTTGTTTACCATTTTGAATAATTACCTATTCTCTGAATCCATTTGTCATTGCATAGAAAATATCTTTGTTCTAAAGAACAACTGCTTATCAGTGTAGTAAATTAATTCTTTAAAGGTCCAAGGTGCCAGGCTTAGGTAAGAGAAGTTGCAGTTACACAGAGTTTTCTGAATTTTAAATGTTGATTTTTGTCAAAAGAATAAGGTATACATGTTTGTGTGGCTGAGGCAACGTCCCTCACTCCTAACCATCGTAAGACTGATCCACAGGGCAATTTCACCTGCAGTTTTACAATGTGCCATTTTTATTTCTTTACTTTGAATTTGGTAGTAATGGCCAACAGAAAACCTCCAGAGTTTGATTCAGATGTGAACTGACTACAAAGGATGCCATTTGTGAGAAGAACTACAATTCTGATGATTAAACAGGAACAATTCATAGGTCCTGGAAGGAACCATTCTAAACACTAATTTAAGGAAGTGAAAATTCACTCTTAAATCACATTTGGAAGATGTTATTACCATAAACACACTAACATAGCAGGAACTACCATAGCCAATTCATAGGCTTGTGCTTCTTGTGAGGGAAATTACTACTTGTTCTGTAAATTCAGAAATGTTTGGGTTTGTGTGGTTTGTGTATATGTGCATGTCAAGTGAGACAACACAAAATCTTAGAAATGTGAAGCCTTCAAAAACATCCAGACTACAGGTAGAATCCTAGAACCTTGCTCATGTCAGCAACTTTTTTTTGAAATAAATGTATTATTTGGGGCATTTTTGGCATCCCTAAATTGAGGTATAATTGTTTCTTTAGGATTTTAATGATAAAATTTTGTATCATTTTTGAGTACATGGCATATGTACAAATATTATATATATTGTATCTTATTGGGGTTGAGATCAAGAATGTCCTTCAAGGACCTCACATGTTCAAATGCAGGGCTTTAGGAAGGTGATTAATTATGGGGCATTGTGCCTGGTCAGAGTGAGTCACTGAAGGTGTGACCCAGAAGAACGTATTTCCTTCCCTAGTTCTCTGCTTCCTGAGGGCAATGACATGACAGCTTTCCTCTCCCTAAGCCCTTCTGCCATCTCATTCCTGTGTTTAAGTCTGTGAACATGGACTGGGACTTTGACATGTGAGCCAAAACCAACCAACCAAACAACCAACCAAGCAACCAGCCAACCAATCAACTAACCAACCACATAAACAAACCAAACTAAACACCTCTCTCATTTAAGTTGCAGGCATTGTGTCTTGCAACAACAAAAGTAATCCAGGAGATTGAATCCAGGTTTTTCACACTGAGATAGTTCTTCAGGTCAGTTTTTATTCTTTTACTTTGAGGAAGAATCTTGTTGAGTCATTGAGTTGCTAAGTTTTTAGACCATGCTAGAGCATATGATCCTCTTGCCTTAACCCTGCCAAAGCACTAGGATTACAGGTGTGTATCACCATGCTTAGCTCATTTGCTGAATTATTATAAAAAGTATTACAATGAAAGGTTTTTATGTTTTTCTATGGGCATATTTAAAAGAGACGAATTCAATGTCAAAATTTGGTTAGTGTTTTTTATTCTACTGAATTAAAATATAAATATTTATTTTCCTTAACTTTTTAAAAAATTCATGACTAGATTTTCCATAGTCTAAATAAAAAATATACCAAAAATGGAATGTCCCGTGAATGTTCACATAACATACAAATTTAAAGTGTAACATCACAGATCTGTGTTTTCCTATATGTCTTCAAATTTCTCTTTCTACAATCTTGCTCTTACAGAAAGAGCTAGAGTATCTAAACAAACAACAGACTTTCCACATGCAAATGAGTCTTGAGTATGAAAGCAGGCCTAAGTTTTCCACTGGATAGACTGGGGAAGGCAAAATCTACTTAGTGTATTGAATAAGGTAAAAACTGTGCAACATAGGAGAATGTTTTAAAAGTATTTTTCAAAGTTTAATTTGTCTTTTGGATGTTCTGTTTCTACCTCTAAATTATGGTACTTCAACAGCTGGAGTACCATCTGATTCCTGAGGGTGCCTCAGGAAAAAAAAATATATAACACAATGCATATTTCTATCTAATTACTATTGTGATTTTTTAAATTTAGGAAGCTAATACATACTTGAAGAGGTAATGTATTATCAGCACAAATAGTTGTAAATCTCAAGCCGGAATTTGTGGGTTTGAATCTTCACTCAGGTCTACGTTAAACATATGGCCTTGGTCAAATATTTAGCTTTTTTGTGCATCAATTTATTTATCTGATGGACGTAAAAATAGTGCTTACATTTCAGGATTGTTGTGAGGAATTAAATTAATTTACATATTTCATGTTTTCAGAAATGTGCCTTGAATATATGCAATTGTTCAGAAAAAATAATTATTGCTATATTTGTGCTGCTATTGGGATTTTGACGTATAATTTAGCACATACTTGGATCACATGAAATAGGAAAATTCAAGTTATTTGATGAAATGGTGTTTCCTAACGATTAAATTTTTGGCTAGGTAACTTACATACTGGGTAAATGTTTTGTCTGGATTTAATTCAGCTTTGTTTCTTTTAATTTCTTGGTTCTATTTTCTCCCTAGAGTTTCCTGTTACAGGTCCCTGACTGGCTTTACATACATAATGGTCCAAAAGGTAGTTTTTTCTTGACCATGTGCATGAATTAGGTCTACTCCTCCAACACTGAACTTTACTTCCTAATTAGCAGAAAAAATGGACTGTTATGTGAGCAAAAACAAGCATTTTATAAACTGCATGCTATGCTGTTGTAAGACAGATTGTTTATTTTTTAATTGAGTTCAAATGACATTATCAGACCCATTTTTAATTAATGATTTAGTTATAATGGTTAATACAAATCCATATAGCCTGAGTGAAAGATGATTTTTTTCCTTTTTCAGATAATTTCAATTTTCTAAATAATTGCCAATAAACCATTAAAATCTAACAAAAAGGCTCTGTGTAAAATTCTGAAATAATCTTTTAATATTTCTCTTCTTAATGGTATTATTACCTATTTCAACAATTTATAGCTTCTACATTTGTCTTCATATTAGCAAAGTATAGTTATCTGGAAAAAACCTTGTTGATTTGATTATTCACTTTCCTTGGGATCTCTCCTTGTCTTAGATACTGAAGTGCCTCTAAATCTTTCCAGCAATTTCACCTCACTCTGCAAGGATGAGACTTGTTTGGTTGCAGTATTTTATGTGTCCCTACCAGCTATGGTCAGTTTCAGTGGAGAGATGATTGACATACATCCCCAGTGAGTCTTGAACTTTGCACACATTGGACCATACAGAGTTATTTGTAGGTGAATGGCAACACCCTGTTTCATCCTTCATCAGGAGTGGCAAGATTGCAGTAGTCAAACCTACTTGGAAATGCTTGGTCATTAGTGTTTTCCGGTCATCTTCAATCTGCCGAAACTTGGCTTTGAGTCCTTTCATTTGGGTTTCCATTTTTAAAACATATTGGAAATCTCTCTGAGTTCTCAAGTTTAGGACTTCAATAGACTGAGACATGTTCTGAACCTGTTAAAAGGAAACATTTGTTATGTGACTGCCTATTTGAAGGTACATCCAGTTGCCCCCAAACACCTAAGATGATATTAACATAGAAAGCTAGAACTGCTGAACCTATAATTGCATTTTCACATATTGCATTTTCAGGACATTTTTCCATTATAAACATTCAAATAATGTAGAAAGACAAAATTATACCTGGTAGGACATTAAAAAGTGAACGTTTTAGCATTAGAAATGACTGAATATAAATAAGAATTAGTACACTAAAGTCAAATTTTAAGTTACAATTTTCTTTGCAGGCTTTTGTTAATATAATTTCCCAAACTAAAAGTGTCAAAGAAAGTGGTTTCTGGAAGTTCTAGTTCTACTTCTTAAAGGTGAAGGACACTTAGTAATTTTGAAGTGTAGCGGTGTCTCCACACATGTAGAACACAACTATTTCAGTGAACATACTGCATGATGGATCTAAATTACTTCAAAAAGTGACCAGTACAAATGGTGGCAGAGCTGGATACCTCTTAAGTTGGATAGCATACTGGTTAAGGGACCCAAAGCATGGCAAATGCAAATGTGTGGTAGTCAGGCAGTAAACATATGCTAGGCAGATGGCACCATCCCAGGTTCACTGAGCACTGGTCTATTTAAAAGTGGGAAGTAGGTGACCTAGAAATCATGCAGAAATGTAAGAAAAGCTGCCCCAATTTTTGTATCAGGAAAAACTTGAAAGCAAAGAGAAAGCATGTAATAGTGAAGTTATATAAAGTCAAGAATAGAATCTGAATAAAGAGTGTTGTAAGCGAGAAGATCAATCTGAGCAGGCTTAGAACTCATCTTATGGTCTTCAGAAGGAAAACTTTGGCATCATCTAGCAGCTTGTCTGAAATGCAGAATCTTGATCTCCTCCTCAGAGCTACTGAACTAGAAGCTGTATTTTCATCAGGATCTCCAAGTGGCTCCTGATCTTTTAGAGCTTGAGGATTGTTTATCCATGAGAAAAACAAATGTAAAGATCTTTACATAACCTCATTCTTTTCATTTTTCTAAATCAAATATACATGTAGCTATGAAAAAGTAGAGTATATAAGAAACAAAATCATGAAGAAACGTATAGAAGGGATCAAAGGTTTTAAATGAGGTTGTCAATAGTAATTTTTGAAGAAAGGAAACAAAATATTGTAGAGAAAGATTTTAAAGTATAAGCATACAAAGTTTACACATAAACAACTTAATTCATTTCCACAGATATGACAGAAAAGCATTAACGTGCTAATAAATTTATATTAATGTAAAATATCGCTTCAAAACTGATTGTGAAATTTTAACTTTTTCTTTTCTCATATATTTGCAAGTTGTTTCATTTATTTTTTGTGTCTATGCATTATTTTTTCAATCAGTAAAAACTCATTTTCATTGAAAAATGTGAATTACAAATGGATGATCCTCTCAGAGAGCTTTTGTCATCAGATAAAGTCACACAACTCAGTAGAGTACCTATTATAGTTCAGGATAATCTATTACTCGAAACTGTAAAATTCAGAAAAGGCAGTGAATTCTGCTGCAGTGTCCGGTTTCAGTCTCCCCATGCTTCTTGTCAGACAAGTCAAATTTCTTCTACCTTTTTCTCCTGCTAGCTTGATCTGTAGTCTCTCCCCTTGTGAACACCATCTCTTTAGGATATATCACAGTGTGGTTTATGTTAAAACTAATGGTGTAATGTGTACTTGTGACAGCTTGGAAAGTCACCCTGTGAGCCATGGGGGATTAGAAACTGATTTTTATTCATCTGTTTACTTCTAAGATTACACAGAAGCAAAAATAGAATAAGTGTTCAATGAATATTTATTAAGTAAAAATTTCCTGGTTTCAAATAGTAATAGTGGAATAATTGAGTTTATAATAAGTTAAGAAAAGCTTCCCTTGCTGTCACTCGTTAGACTACGGTAGAACCTAACAAATATTTAATTTATTATTTTTACACTCAGAAACTTTATTTTTAGAATCTTTAGTGCAGCAAAACTTATGACAACAATGCTTAATTGTGGCAACTTCATTATGAACAAATGCAATAGGTTCAATGTCATTTTCTAACTCTATTAGTGGTTAAATATGAATAAAGGGAAGGCATTGGCATAAAGAAACTGACTACTCACTTAAGTATGGCATTTGTCCATGAAGGCACCCATCATTAATGTAGCTGATATCCTACTAAGTATTCTGTTTACCCAGGCAGAGTCTATGCAATTTGAATATGACAGAGAAGGGAAGGCCTTCTGGTAGAGTTAAAACAGCTTCCTTTATTATGCAGTGAACTCACCTGTCAAGTTCATTTTCAACTTAATTCATACTGCTGAAAAAATCCCTGAGAGAATTTTGCTGAGATTTGATTATGTCCTTCATATTGCACAGTCATGTATAGTTAGTTATAAGAGATGCATTTGGGATGACGGGTCAAGACTGAGCTCATTGGATAGAACTTGCCTCTGAGTTACATTTAGCTTTCCTATTGGCTAGACTTAGGATTTTCTTGGTTATTGAGATATTTGGGATCAATTTTCTGTTGATATAGAGGACTGGAGTTTTGATCCTGTACTTGTAAGAAAGAGGCTTGTCTTCTATATTTCTCCTTTTTTTCTGTCTCTAAAGTTGTACTACAATTTAGAAATCTACAAAGGCCCCTACATTTGGACCCTTCCCACAAAGATTTTGACAAATTCATTGTCCCTTCACTGAAAACTCTTGTGAACTCTTTTTTTTTCATATAAATAAAATGTCTGAGGTCTTTCTGAACTACATCGGAAATGAACTGATATTTTTAATCTCATTCATAATTGCTGTGACTGCCCCTTGAACAAACAAACAAAAAATTCTATGATTCAATATGTTTGGATAGCCTTGGGTTTAACCAAAGTACCAAAGGTTTCTTGACTTTGGTACTTCATAAAATCTTTAGTATTGAACTACATTTTAGAAATTTTTGAAATGGTTTATCATGTAGATGATATTTTAAACTTATTTTATTGGTGAGGATATTGTCAATCTCTAACTCCAAAAATTACCCTGTTGGAAGTATGAACATGAACAATGTAAAATGTCTTCAACTTGACAGAGAAATGACAAATCTAACAGATATTCTCACGTGAATAATATTAGTTTCAGCATAAGAAACTAATTGCATTTTTCTGATATTCAGTAATTTACAGAGTTGGTAAAAATGATAGAGCATCACTTAAATACATTCTGGATGGTGTTGAAGAACAGAGAAGTGATTCAATATAGCTCCATTGCTTAGAATTGGAAAGATTTTAACCTCAAATAGTAACAATTTTCTTTCATGTAAACTTAGAAAAGTATATTCTGTATAAGAATTAAATGGAGTGAATGCAGATATAATAATGGCAAACTATGCAACAATATAATGGGAACTATTGTTTCTTTTTTTTTTGTACTGGGGATCAAACTCACAACCTCAGGAAGGTGTTTGTGCCACTGAGCTAAACCCCAGGCCAGGTTAATAACAATATTAAATATTGTTAACATTTTTAAATTTAACTCTTTTGATTGTTACTCTTTTTGGTTAATGGTAAATGAACTGTTTACAGATCATGCCATATTACCAAGAAAGTAGTTCAGTCTGTAAAACAATGACCATTTCAATGTCTGTTGGGGATCAATGCAGCAAACCCAGTGCTATGCACCTAATTTGGGCCCCTATAAGTTTACTACTTTTCTCTTGGCATAAAACTACCTCCTGCAAAATTTATAAATCTAATTTATTATAACTTTCAATTTGTTAATGAATATTGTTTAAAGTTTATCAGTGGTATTGATTTTATTTAAGGTTCATCATTGATACTTTCAGAGGTATAATTCTTCTAGAATTTCTTTAAAATACTCAAACACATTACCTCTTAGACAGTGTGGTTATATTCATTTTCATGATAGTTTTCACCTAATTTCATACTCTTGTTTTCATGCATATTCATCCTTCACTAATTCTTAATTCTATCATATTTCTGATAAGCATTTCACTTTGGAACTATAGAGGGAATAATTTAGTTTCTCACATTCATATTTTATTTGAATTTTCAACTGATTTTTGAAGAAATATTTGAATTTTTGTGTAATGTTACTATGTATGGAATGCTAGACTGAAAAACTGCAACATATAAAAAGAGCTATCAAAATGTTTCTCAGCATGGTTGATATAGAAAGAGAGTTATTTCTGGGTCGTGCTTCTGGGTCAGGCTAACATACCCTTGTAATCCCAGCTACTCAAAAGTTTGAGGTAGGAGGACAGAAAGTCTAAAGACAGCCTTCCCAAATCAGCAAGACTTTGTCTCAAAACAACAAAACAAAACAAGACAAAAAGAAAAAGCAAGCAAAAGAAACAAAGAAAGAAAAATGGGAAGGGAAAGTAGTTCTGTACTTCAAGATCAATTTCCGTGAAACAAACAAATGAACAAGTTGCAAAAAGATACTTGTTATATGGTGTCAATAATCTGAGACAAAATTCAATTTAACAGTAAAACAAAATTGAATTTATTTTTTCATAACTTAATTCCTCTGATAAACACAATAAAACAAACAAAATAAAATAATTGAATTTTTTTATTAAAAAAGAAAATCAAAATTGGAAACTATACCTAATAATTAAAAGTTATTGGTTATCATTTCTCACAGTTAAGAGACACATTAGCCAGAGTAATTTTCAAAGAAAAAAGATATATGTAATGGTATACGGAAAGATACTGAGGAAGCAGTGAGAATGGAATCTCCTTAGAAAAGGAAGTTTAAGAGGCCCACAAAGTAGGTAATGTTAGCTCCAAAGAAAAAGGAAGGAGAATTAGTCTCGGCTTTGTATAACATGAAAAAAGTTCCTCGTAAACTTAGAACATCGATATATCTCCAAATTTTGTACCCAGAAAAAACTCATTATTACTACAAGATTAAGTGAAAGAAAGTTACTTGGCTTGAAAAAGTGAAAACGTGTTTTGTCTATATTAACAAATTAAATTCTTTCATTTTTCTAGCTTCTCTTAATTTTAAGTTAAAAGTTCCATAAATGTATGAATGATCATAAAATGATGTTACAAAGAGCACTGGTGAGCATGCTGTTTAAAAAACCCCTACTACATAATTTATCATATTATCCCTGATAATAAGATATTTAAAATTCAAGCATGTTGTCATTTTGTATCATTCTGACCAAGCCAGGTGTCCTATTTGGAGCCCAGCACCGTGAAAGTCTAAATGCAAATAACTGGAAGAATCTCATTCACTAGGCTTTTCTCCCAAAGGAAACATAAACAACCTTTCATGAGCTGACTTTTATCTGTAAAAGAGAATAAATCAAGGGTGTTCTGCATTTGATTGTTAGGGACCTGACTTAAGTAAATTATAGAGAGAATGGTATTGAATGACATTGAAGATCTTAGTGTTCAAAGGAATGACGTGTCCAGTTAGCCTGCGTGCTGGATGCCATTGTTGTAACTTCTCACAAGGTTGTTAGTGGGACCTTAATGTATTACCTCCAAGACCTATTGTGATCCTGAGAGTTGAGACTGACTTTTGGCATAGAAATATGAGTATGTGCTTTATACTTGTTAAAGAGAGCCTAAATGGATATTATAGTACTGTAGTAGAAAGCCTGCCTCAAGAAGACTAAATTAAGAAAACTAAAAGCTGTGGAAATAAAATAAGGTGGCAGGAAGCTAGAGATCTGCTGAGCAATAGAAAAAGTTATTTGAAAGGTGGAATGGAAATCCGAATTCCCTTCACCTTTACCTCCTTCACCATGTGTCCATTTCAGAGAATAGTAGATTTCAATAAACATATGCATAAGCAACCCAGACTCCTACCTTTTCCAGCAGTTGACGAAGTTGCCTGCTTTTGGCATCCCTGGAGCACAGGTTTTGTTCCGGAGCAACCACTGTGCAAATACATCGCCCATCAGGGTCCTGTGCGGAGCTGTATACTTGCCACCCCTCTTTGGGACTAATCTGAGTCTGAGAAAACCGACAGCAAACATACAAAACACAGACTTTCATTATGGATCAAGGACAATATAGGTTTGTAGTAGCTCAATCAAAGCATTTTTTTGGTGTGGATAATTAGAATCTGTGATTTACTCGTTAAAATTTGAAGATTAAACAATTCACAAAGGCAGTAAAACACCATTGTTTAATATCTTTCTTACTAATGTCCAAATGTAGGTCTTTTGTGTTCTTCCATTTCTGTTACTAATTCTGATTGATCTCAAACTGCTTCTTAATTTATTTTATCACATGTTGACATTTAGATCCAACTTTAGAATCATCTACTGACCACCTAATCCCATGTGATTAGTCTTTCTACATTAGATTTGGCATCTCATGTTTCTCACCAGTAAACGGCAATTATTAGTATATTGTTTGCTGATTAATATTCAGGTGTGATATTTTTAAACACACCCTTGCCTCAAGGAATTTCCTTTGCATTGCAGATCTAATTATTACAAAGGCAGGAAAGTTTTTCACAAGATGTTATATCGTAAAATAATTCATCAATGTTTACACAACAAATATAGACTTTCAGAGAAGTTAAAGAGAATTATTTTGGTGGGGTCTCCTAAAGTGATCTCACAATAATTTCTGTGCACTTAAACCCTACCTCTCTAAATCCCAGGGGCATTCCATTTCCATCGGAGCCTGTCACTTTTTTATGTTTACAGAACTTCTGCTGTCCACTAGAAGCCTTCATGCCATCCAAACTGAAATGTGTGAACCGTGCAATCATACAACATTGACCCATATCTTTGTTTTTATTCATACCTTTGTATACCATTGCACATTCTGCTTTTGCTGCTTGGAATGCCTCCTTTATAAACCATCTGCTTATTTGGTCCTCCTATTCCGAAGCACTGTCCTACTATTCTTAGGCATTTAATGTATATTGCCTAATATTATTTGTATTTCATATGTCTTATTTTAATAACTGGTTTATTGCTAGCTTATAGGCATATTTCCTATCTATTCTGCTAAGTGTGCTCTGTCAAGTGCAAGCATAATTATCCTTATATTTTGTCTAATTATTTTTCAAGAAAAACTTCAATAGATTTTCAATTAGTGTACACAGAGGGAACTTATTTTCATTATAAGGGAGCACAAGAAATTTGCCGTGATTATATTTGAAATTGTGTAAATTACAAGTGTCTGTATTACCAAACTTTAAGATTTCATTTCTCTAGTTTCTCTTAATTTTCTAGTAACAGTTCCTATTAGTACAAAACAGCAGTTACTGGGAATGGCTTGGTGCTGATCACAGACACTCACTGCACCAGCTGCCAGGAGTACTGGTCGCTCATTGCTCAGCTAAGTGTCTCTTTGGGGATTGGCTTGGCTGAATAATGCTGTTTTGTTTAAAGCCAGGCTCCATTCCAAGGAAAGCTCAATTCCACTTTACAGCAGCTGAAGCTATTATATTATTCCCATTTCACAGAAAAGAAAATGAGTTAACCTGTACAAGAGTGCACAGGTTGTCTATGGCAGTGTTAGGGTATGCAGCAAAGTGGCATTCTGTGTTGCTGCACTGCACAATAGAAATGTGGAGTCCTGTGTATGGTTTAAAGTTTTCTAGTTGCCATATTTTTAAAGCTAAAAAAGCTACTAAAATAATTTTAATGATATTTTAACTCAATTTATCCAAAATGTTATCATTTCAACATATAATGTGAAAATCATTCATAGTTTATATTATGCGTTTGTGTGTGTGTGGTACTAAGGACTGAAGCTGTGCTAGGCATGCAGTGTATCACTGAGCTGCATCAATAGAAAATTCTTCCTTTATAAACATTTTTGAGACACGATCTTACTCTGTTACCCAGGTGGGGCTTAAACTTGTGATTCTTCAGCTTCCACCTTCTAAGTATCCACTGTTATGATTTTTAATTTTCAATGAGCTATTGAAATTAAATATTTATTTTACTCCTACGAATTACATTTGAACTATCCATGTCTCAAAGTGATCGATACATATATTTTATAGCCATTTGTAGTTTTGGGCAGGACATCTCTAGTCTTACTTTTAATACCTTTGTAATGTCTATATTGATATGATTATCAGTACGCATCTAATTGCTTTAAAAATGTTAAGTATATAGGTATTGGAAAAACATCAATGAGACCTTACATAGACAACCCATTTCTTCTATAAAGATATTCCTTAACAACCTGCTTACCAACTGTTAAGATTTACAATCCAGGCATCTTGTTTAGACTTATGATCCACTGCTTTGACTTACAGCTGTCTTTTTTTTTCACAGTTCTGTATATATTGTTTATAGAGCAGCAGTGTCTTCTTTTGTGCCTGTGTATACATTATTGTAATTTTTGCTATACAGTATTGTAGTTTTATGTTCTTCTATACATGACATGAATTCATGTATGAGTTACGCAAATAAAAGTCATTAAGTTGGAGTTTCCTTTGACCATATCTTTATTCTGAATATTGTAGTATGTGTACTACATCCCTTTTCTCATTTAGTGACCCATTAACTGAAAGACCTAGTCGCTGGAATGGAACCGGTTGTTAAATGAGGAGTGCCTTTATTCGAATTAGTTTTATTTCTGTGGAAATACGAGATAAATCATTTGGGTCTCCGTTTGTCTCAGCTCTGTGATTATTTCTGTAGCCAAGATCTGAATTTTTAGCCTTCCCTTTCCTTCAATAATTTTCAAAGATTAAGCAGATTAGGAGATATTTCTTATATACAGAGAAGAGGAAGATAAATTCAAAGTCAAATTCCTTGTTTATTCTGTCTCAGGGCCCAGCTTATCACATATTATAAACCAACACATAGGTCTTTTCCTTTTGAAAAACTTCAGTGACAATTATTACAGGGTGCTGATAGGCATGTCTGCAAAAGTCATGAGCAAACACTGGGAAAGCTGTCATCATAAACTCAGGAAATTCATAAGGATATCATAATCCTCATTCTTGATCTATTATGAAAAGCAAATGGTGCCAGGCCTCTCTATTTTAGTCTCCTCTTAATTCACTTCCTCTTTATATAGTCATAGAAGCTTCTCGTGCTTTCTTTATTCCTGAGGGGTCAGACTCACTTTACTTACCCTTTGTTTCTAGCATATATATATATATATATATATATATATATATATATATATGCTAGCTAAGCAAATATAAATGTTTTTATTTTTACCTGAACATCTAAAATAAAAAGATATTCTAAAAATTATCTAGTACTAGAATCAGTCAAGATCTTAGAATAGTGGGTTTTCCTTTTTTGTGGGACACAAAAGTACAGAAGAGTTCATCTACAGAGCAAAGATAGAAACAGCTAGCAGTACAATTTAAATGACGTAATTAAAGGTTTAAAAAGACTACCAGTACAGGACTAATGCGTTTGGATGTAGGCCCTGTTGGCTTCTAACACAGGACACAAATCTCAAATATGTCATAAAATTAAGGTTTTTCATTAGAATTTCATTAGAATAAATTTAGCTGTTGGATGAGGGAGTAGGGACCACTCAATTATAATATCAAAATATTTTAACAGCAGTGCAAACACTTATTATTAAACCTGACAACATTAACACCGATGTGCACTTGCCAAGGGTTTGGCTGACCCGTGTGGGCATATCACTCCAGAGCCAGGTGTTAGCTGCTCTCTGGAATAAGCATGTGGGAAAGGTAACTAGAGACTGATGTTCATTTAGCATTCTCCTTGAGGTGTTTGCTAAATAACTGGAAATACTCCTGCCTTCTTTGTACTTGCCATTGTCTTTTCAGTCAGCATGGAAACAGTAGCCATCAAAAAGAACTATGACCTTTTTTATTTTAGTTAGAATGCTATAAGCTATAGAAAAATCTCCCTTTGTGGCAAGAAAAAAGATAAATCAAAAAATTGAAAACCCCAATATAAATGGTGAGAGCCTGACATTCCTGTGTGTTTTCTAGAGCCCTGTGTTCTGGGGTCAGTGATAAATTGAAGCAGTGTTAAGAGCCTTACGAGTGCTGTATTTTAGGGCACCCATACTGTGATTGGGAAAAGAACTAAAATAAAACTATGACATCAGATGTAAGAACATATTTAGATGTTTTATAAATACCCATGCAAAAAGTCATGCTCTAACCTTAACTTTTAAGAGCAATTATTCAGGCATCAATAAAGCTCATATTAAAACAATCATTTATGGAATGCTATTCATGTAGAAGTTTGTGTGTTTTTATCTTTTAAATATAAAATGTCACAGTTTGTAGACTCTTATACCCATTTTCCTGTTAAGGAAAATTAAAACAGGGTGGTTGAGAGATCATGCGGAGATTAGTATGAAGAAGTAGGAACTTGTATAGCCTGATTTCAGAACACCAAGTTTAACCACTGTATTGTTCACTAATCACTTAAATTCCCCTCAATACATGGTCATTTAACCTACTACTGTGAAGCCTAGTACTTGGAAATGGAGAGTGTATATAATATAGTATTATGTTATTGAAAGCACTAGAAATTACATAATTAATGGTGCAGTTCTCTTTGACTATTTTGTGTTAAATAAAGAATTATAAGGACTATTTAGAACTCTTTAATATTACAAAAGTCTTGAAATATTTAGGAAAACTCTTAGTCAGAATGTTAAAAGGACAATTTAACAATTCTATTTCAGGTCTTGATTTTTTGCTTATAATTGCAAAACTATATTTTGTAAATGTAAAGTCCAACTTGTGAGAGTTTTCCTAATATTTTAGGAATTATATGTTGCAAAAAATGTATCCTGAGGTCTAAGTAGCAAAAGCCAATCAAAAATTCTTGATATATCAGATACTTTCTCTTTATAAAGTCTTTTATCTTATATTGAATCAACTACCATTAGAGATAGGCAACATGTTATTTGACTTAAGAGGAAAGTGAAACTTACAGAATTTAAGCAAGGTTTCCAAGTTATCCAGTTAGTCAATATTACATATGAAGTGGATTGGATTTCTCCAACTTTCCGCCTCTGCAGATAAA